TGACCCAAGAAAGGTTGGCTGTGAAGATTTAAAATTCCTTGAAATTGAAAAGCATAAACTGAATCATGAATGCAGAGGGAAACCACCACAGGGGTTTAGAGGGGAGATGTGGATAGAGTTGTGGTAGACGGTAAAGATTTTAGAAACAGCATTTGATATATACAGTGATAGAGCAAGCTGAAGAGTGGGAAAGCCAGGATTACACCCACCTTGTAATCCTGAAAAGATTATTTTAGCTGAAAGAGAAAATGTTTAAGGTAAAATTCTCTAATGCATTCAGTCAGTCACTTTTATCCAACCATATCTTGCCATGTTGCTTCTAATGGACATCTCAGGCCTTTGTGTGTTTCTGGTGTTTGGGTGTTTTTTGAGTTTCTTGTCTCTGAAGTACTTATCAACATTGTGTAGAAGCTCTAGACTATTTGACAGGCAATGCCTTTTTTAAATTATTAGTGTTGTTAGTTCCTTTGTCATTCCAAGATAAGTCTTCACAATAGTTCTGCAGCTATATTTACTTCAAATACCTAGGTTACTTTGTTTTTCTGTACTATGTCAATAATATATTTTGGTATTCTCTGAATTATTCTGTGTGCTACCTTATTTATTTCCAGTATTCATGAGCTATAAGACATGAATGCACTACCAGGTTTGCAGAATTTCATATGTCATTAGTGTCTCTATTACATGAGGTGCTGGATTACATTTTTCTAAAAATGTGGTTATCTAAAAGAAGAATTTTTTTTAGGGAATCTGAGGGGTAGCCATGTTAGTTTGCAACTTTAAAAACAAGTAGTAGTTCTGTGGCACCTAAGTGACGAACAAAAATATACAATATCGTGAGCTTTCATGAGTGAAACCCACTTCATCAGATGAGTTGGAATGCAAATAATGAAAACCAAGGTGGATATATATAACAGAAGAAATAACTGTCAATTATACGACAAAGAGGTAACTGTCAATTATAGGACCCATGTTAATGAGGCTAATTAATGAGGCTGGGTGTGTTCTATTCATAGCTTTTGATATAAAAATGTGAATATAAAAAACAGGGAAAACTGGCATTAACCAGTTAATGTCTTCAGGAAGATTAAAAATCATGTAATAGGGTAACTGTGTAACCACTGAAATTCTTAGTGGTTACAGTTGCCTGTGCTGTGGGCTCTGCAGTATAAACCTTAGCTCTATACTGCAGAATCCTCATTGATGCTTCCTCAGGAGTGGGGCCAGGAGCCCCTGCTGGCTCAGCTCCTGGGGAGGAGAGTTCGCTGCTCTCCACACCAAAGCCACCTCTCTGGGAGGCTGAGTGTAATTGACACTGTTAACCAATAAGCATCAACTTATCAGTGTTATGGTTAGTCGTTTACATATCCCTAATCTTTATTCAAGCCCAGGATAACTTTGTCAAATTTGCAGATGAATTCCTGTTCTGCAGTCTCTCTAATTGGGTGATGACATTTGCTTCAAGTTGGGGATTTGCTTGAGGTTGGAGGATTGTTTGTAGGAGAGGATTGGCCTGTCTTTCTAGAGCGTTTTCTAGTAAGCATTTCAGATATTTTCTGTTTTGCTTTGAAGGATGAAGCAACCCTATGGATGAGAGCTTTGCTCTTACATCAGCCTCTTTATATCACATAAAAGAAAATGGTGTAAAGGTCTGTGAAAAGCCATGTAACCCTCAAGGTACAATTCCCCTGACGAAGGAACTTTGAGATAGAATGACATGGGGGTGGGTATGGACTATGGGTTTTTTTTAAAAAAAACTTCACCTGCATCTAGACTGCCATCGTGTTCTTTTGAAATTAAATCGAAAAAACGCGGCTTTTTTTTGAAATTGGTAAACCTACTTTTGCCAGGAAGAACGCTTTTTCGAAAAAAGAGCTCTTTCGAAAAAAGGCATTCTTGAACACAAACAGGGATTTTTTGAAAG